TTGTCGGTTTTAGTCAACACTTTTTTCTCATCTTTCCAACACGGTGTGTAGGAACCGTAAGGAAAAATAAAGTATTTATCCTCAAAGAATTTCTGTCAAACAACTTTTTCTCATGCTCCAAAAAAAAAAGTCTGTCGTATTTCGTAAAACTTTGCATTTCAATGTACAATAAATCTTTTCTACAACCCGACGAAAGGAGGCGTTAAGGTTGCACAAACTATAGTACTCGGCGCAACGCAAAAAAAAAATCGCTGGCCGCATTCACTGTTCTTCGATTTGATTAATGGTGCTACAGTTGCAGCTTTCATCTTACATCGCACTATAACTGGGACGAGCGGACAACCATTAGGTTCTAAACTAATACTTTTCATTTATTGGTTCATTTATGGTTCATTTATTGGATGAACTAGTGTACTATTAAATCAAAAGATGAAACGCAGTTGTGTTGAGTAGGTCTCATCGACAAAACATTGATTTGATTCTTGACAACCCATCCTCATCATTGCTCTGTATCATTTATCGAAGGTTCGCAAGTCCACTAAACTTGACTATTCATTTAGCATTTTCAATCAAAAGTCAAAATTTGGCTTAACCAATGACAAGAATGAATCGGTCTGATGATGAGTAGGCATGATTAAGGGAAGTAGTATGTAAAAAAGTTTTAGTTGGCTAGGCTGCGAGCTAGGCTGCTAGGCTATGTCAAAATTATAGGAAACCAAAAAATCTCGAACAGGTGCTTGTTATTATTAGAAGTTAAGCTCTGAATATTATAAAATCATATTGTAAATTATATTGTAAAATCATTAGAGGCATAAAATGAGGTGAGTTTAAATACGGAAAAAACTAATAGAAAAATAAATAATTTTTTTAGTTTTCTAAAAAGTTTCTTGAGTCAGATACTAAATTAATATTCTCGTCAATCATAAAAGAGCTTAAGAATTAACAGAATTAAGCTGTTCTCTGCAGATGTTAACGCCGAGTTTGCATACAATTGCCTGTGGTTCGCAGGGTGGAAGGGATGATTGACAATATTTAGTGGGACTAAACTTTTCAATGGTATTGTTGGTTTTTCAAGGTTTCTAGGATTTTCTCTCTACATTCAAAATATTCTGTTTAACGATTTTACTAAAGGGAACTTGGCTGTGGGTATGCTGAGCTACAGTTTTCGTGTTTTTTGGAAGGACCGTGAATTGTAAGATGTCATTGGTGTTGGCCGTATCAGGAATGTGGAAGAAGCTGGGATACCTAAGTCTGGTTTCCAGCTTAGATAAATTTTCCAGTGTCAATTACTGGTATGTGTGGCATACGTTCTTTTTAGCGCTGCGCAGTTCCAAAACAGAAGCAAGATGATTTGTTTGCAGTTTGTGGAAGTTATGTGAAAATAAACAGTTACTGTATTACTCTAAAAAGTTTCTTGAGTCAGATACTAAATTAATATTCTCGTCAATCATAAAAGAGCTTAAGAATTAACAGAATTAAGCTGTTCTCTGCAGATGTTAACGCCGAGTTTGCATACAATTGCCTGTGGTTCGCAGGGTGGAAGGGATGATTGACAATATTTAGTGGGACTAAACTTTTCAATGGTATTGTTGGTTTTTCAAGGTTTCTAGGATTTTCTCTCTACATTCAAAATATTCTGTTTAACGATTTTACTAAAGGGAACTTGGCTGTGGGTATGCTGAGCTACAGTTTTCGTGTTTTTTGGAAGGACCGTGAATTGTAAGATGTCATTGGTGTTGGCCGTATCAGGAATGTTTAAGAAGCTGGGATACCTAAGTCTGGTTTCCAGCTTAGATAAATTTTCCAGTGTCAATTACTGGTATGTGTGGCATACGTTCTTTTTAGCGCTGCGCAGTTCCAAAACAGAAGCAAGATGATTTGTTTGCAGTTTGTGGAAGTTATGTGAAAATAAACAGTTACTGTATTTCTGCTCCGTTTGTTTTTATCTTTGTTCCGGAGGGACAATTTACTAGAACTTTTAGCCTTTTAGCCACTAGCCAATATAGCCTTGTCTTTCAGATTGGCAACAACAAGCTTGGTGTGGGACACAAAAGTAAATCTCCTATGAAAGATAATGCCCAGTAATCTATGTTCTACCGCTTGTGGGATTAACTCTCCGTGGAGGAATATCCCAGAACAGGATTTTTTCCGAAGTGTGTATGTCACCACTGCACACTTTTCTGGGCTAACAGAAACATTTTATCGGCAGACCCGATTCTCTAATATTTTTCAATAACTTCTGCAGGGTATCCGTTGCCTTATAAAGACAATTGTTCTTCACCAAAATACCCGTGTCATAGGTGGCAACACAGATTGATCTTCTGTCAATTTTGAAATATTTGGTGGTGGAAGTCCCCAGGAGAACCCGATGCCAAAAACTGTCAAAGAATGTCTTGAAATGCAGCCACCACGTACTCTTTTCAATGAAATCCATCCAACGATCATCCAACTATCCAATTCATCCAATCCAACGATTTGCCTGACTCGATGCATTTGTTCAGGGATCCTTTCTAAAATCGAACGGAAAAGACACAATTGCTTCTCGGACTTGAGGATTGAAAGATAAGCGAGGCAGGATGCATCTTTCTAATATCTTGTCAAAAGTTGGTAGTACTGGTATACTCTTTCCTGAAAAGTTTCCCTTGACCTAAGCTCAGACCACATACCTCTTGTTATCAGATTACCCCTGCCAGACTCTCTGATTAAACGGTAGCTGATGAGGTTTGGTTTAGCCTTCATGTTTAAGGAGACATTGGCCTTCATCCACGGCTTTAGGGAATGCCCAATCCTAAAAGCAGCATTGAACAGCATACCGAGGAGCAGGATTGCACAATAAGAAAGTGACATTACCATACGGTTAGTTATTCCGTCAGGACCAGGGGCCTTTCTATTTTTCAACTTCCTTACGATGTTCAAAATTTCTGGAAGTATAACAGGACGAACGGTAACGAATGCTGTATGGGACCGTCTAGAAGTGTCTCTCCTATCCCACATCTTCTCGGTGAAGCAGTCTGAAAGGATTTGAAGCGTTTTTCAAGATCCTCTAAGGCCGAAATATTCTTGTCCTTATTGGGAGTGGCTTCCTCTAGCTTATCGTCAATGTAACCTTGTCAACCTTGAATAGCCTCAATATCTTTCGCTCACTGTTGGCGAGCCTTCCATAATTTCCTGTTCAATACGCGTATATATTCATGTCTGATGCTATGCTTCAGATCTATTACATCTCTAATCTAGATAGGAAAATGAGCCATATCCCGCCTGTTGGTATTGTAAGATGTAGATAGCGCTGGTGCTGATTCCGTGGTGCTGCCTTGCAGATTTTGCTTAACAGTAGTTCTGCCGCTTCATCGAAATTTTCTGCAGAAATAATTTCGGTTTCCAGAAAAAGTGAGATACCCCGCAGGGTCCGGTACTTCTTGTTATCTTTTTCAGGTGGAAGTAGAGTAGGCAGCTTTCGGGGAGAAGAAGAGTCAGGCTGGAGTAATCGGAAAACAAGAGGTATGTGATCTGAGCTTAGGTCAAGGGAATCTTTTCAGGAAAGAGTATTGTTGAAAAGAGCAAAGTCAAGGCACGATGGTGTCGCCAACTCTTTTAAAAGGTTTTATTTTGATTTATCGATAATGCTATAACTTTGGTGTTTTTAAAGTTGGAGTTAAGGATGTAGTCTCATGTGTGAGGTTGAAAAAATCGTTTTTTTTCTCATATTTCGAAAGTACTGTTTATTAAAAATGTACTGTTAAAGTTTCAAATAAAAATATCAAATAATGACAGAGATACAGCCCATAATCGAGAGCGCGCCTACACCGAAAAGTATGAGTTTCTCGGTAGCGTCTAAACTTTAGACGCTTCTTTTTCGGAACTACATTTTTGTGTGCGGCGCAGGTTATTCACAAAATTCTATGGTACCGATCTAGCTGAAATTTGGATATGTTATTCTAAAAAGTAACACCTCTGTCCCGTACTAGAATCATTTATTTTTAATGATTAGTTTTTTTTATCATTAATTTAAGATACATTTTTTTTATTTAAAAAATTTTTTTTTTTGTGAGTTTGCCATTTTGTTGTTTATTGATGAAAATATTTCATTCTAGTACGGGACAGAGCCATAAGTTTACAAAACAATAATCAATTCCAGAGGTCGCCACGGCCCTATCTCGGGGGCCACTTACACACAGTATAAATGTGTGAAACGTCATGCTCACAGCATACTTTCACAGCATGCTATTCGTTACTAACACTAATGCGGTAAGATCATATCAATTTATTGGGGTGCCGACCACTGATCTATTCTAATTTTTTGTTTCGGATGACTCTAGCAGTCGAAATCACCTGCGCCAGGGACCTACCTTTTTTTTTATATGCTTACTTTGGCATGCTATAGTGTATTAAAGTGTATTAAAGTAGACAAGTGTATTAAAGTACACAAGAATAAATTAAACAAAATATTTTCAAATAGTTTATTATGCCTATAAAAACATATTTGAAAATTGAAACGATCGCATTATTTTTTATTAGAAAAAAAGTTTTTTGAAATAACCTTTAAAAAGTAGGCCGGAACATGAGACTACATCCTTAAGTTGCAACTTCCTATATATTCTATTTTTGGTAAGTTTATGCTTCCTACCAAATTTCAACGATCGGCCAACTATATAGCGGTCATATAATTGATCGATTAGATATGTTACCTTATAAGTTTTTGGTAAAAATACCTACTTTGGTATTTTGAAGATAGAAGCTTGAGACTTTTTTTATAGATTTTTTATTGTAATAAATTGGTTTTAATATGATATTCTTATATGGATCGGCCAACTATTTGCGATATATATTCGTTTTTAACTGCAAGAGTTTGGTCTCGCCTGAAGCAAATTCCATATTAAAAATAGATTCCACCACATACATTTTTTGTGTCTTTAATAATGGCATCTAGCAGTTTATTTATATTATATTTATTAGTTAATAGTTATATATGTTATATATATATTTTTTTTTATTTATTACAGACACGCGAAAATTTTGAGGAAGCACGAGAAAAAGTGACAGAGCTGAAAACAAAATACATGGAAAAGCGCACAGTAAGTCTGTTTTCAAAATCATAAATAAATTCAAATACAATTATTTTTTTTAACAGAAGCCTGAGGAAATTTTCACGAAGCGTGGATATTTATTTTTGATGGAGAAAAGTATGTTAACAAATTAACAAATTTAAAACCCCTTTTTATATATGTACGTATTAACGGGGTTATTAAAGTCTGTTTTATACTATCGTAATTTATACCAGAGTCCGCGGGTATATTGGTTGGGGCCAATAAAATATTTGTATATTGGTATTGGATAAATAACGAATAAAATGTAAACGTGTTAGTAGAGTCTGGCTGCTTACATTACCATCAAGGCTTAGTTTTTGCAATCAATCAAACCAATTTCAAACCATTTCTTATAATTTTTTCTTTATTCTGATACCACATGCAAGAAAGTGTACAGACCAAGGACCCTACGACTTCCACCACGATGACGAATTACCGCCAACATGCTGCTATTATTGGTTATCCATTCTCCCTCCCTTCACTTGGATCACCTACAAAAAAAATGTTACTTTCAAAATCCTTTCATTCTCACACCTATCTATTCTATACTGTCTATTCTCACACCTATCTATTCTATACTGTCTATTCTATACATTCTATACTGTCCTGCTGTGTGCACCTCTGCTGAGTGTATTGAAAGAGTAAAACTTTAGTTTAAAACAAAAGTGTATTGGTGAGAGAAACCAACCTCTGCAATGAGCGGTTTGTAGAATGCGCTGCGTATGAAATTATTTAGAACCTAAATCAATTTTTTATGTTGCGAAGCCAAAGAAAATTTAACAAAAAACGCAATAAGTCGAGAAAATATTTTTATATCCTTGCAGAGGTATTATAATTTTGTTCAAAAGTGTGCAACGTATATATATATATATATAAAGTATATATATTCTTGATCAGGACCACCTCCTAAGTTGATATGAACATGTTTCGTCTCTCCTTCTGCCTGTTTCTACGCAAGATAGTCTCTCAGTTTTAAAGCTTTCATCTTGAAACTTTGCACAAACCCTTCTTTACTTTGCACGCAGTATATAAGTCGGAACGGCCGGGATCAATATATTGATCGGAAATGCTATAAATTTAGTGTTTTTAAAGTTAGAGAGTTCGAATTTTGTACGACCTAATAAAGGATCGTTTCATAAAGATCAGCCGACTATATTCTATAGCTGTCATATAAGTGAACTAACGGAAATAACCAAACTTTCGTGTTTTTGAAGAGCTGGAACCTTAGTACAGATAATATTTTTGGTCAGTTAATCCGACCTACAAAATTTCATAACGATCGGCCGACTATATCTTATAGCTGCCATATAACTGAACGATCGGAAATGGTTTTTGGTAGAAATGCCAACTTTGGTACTTTTGAAGATAGAAGTTTTGGACATTTTTTAGATTTTATATTATCATAAATTGGGTTATATTATCATATTCTCATAAGGATCGGCCAACTGTATCCGATGTTTGCGATATATATCCGTTTTAACTTCAAGGGTATATCAACTTCGGCTCCTCCCGAAGTAAGCTTTCCTTTCTTGTTTATATCTGGAATTAAGCTTATTTCGTTCCCCATGTTTTTTCTCATAAACAACTTGTCCATAAACTGAACTACTCTTTCTCAGCCGCCGCAACCATAGTTGGGCTATTTATGAATACTGTCAATACTGCACAGGCACATAAGCGGAGAAACATATATACATATATACATTCTTATTATATACCATCTGAAAGGTATTGATGTGTAGATCATATATATACATATATATTTGATCTGGCTTCTACGGATCAAAAGATATATAGATTCAATCTTTATTTTCAATTTTTAAAATAAAAGTTATCGAATAATTTTTATTTTCCAATTTTTATACCCTTGCAGAGGGTATTATAATTTTGGTCAAAAGTGTGCAACGCAGTGAAGGAGACATCACCGACCCTATAAAGTATATATATTCTTGATCAGGATCACCTCCTGAGTTGATATGAGCATGTCCGTCTGTCCGTCTGTCTGTCCGTCTGTCTGTCCGTCTGTCTGTTTCTACGCGAACTAGTCTTTCAGTTTTAAAGCTATCGTCTTGAAACTTTGCACACACCCTTCTTTCCTTTGCACGCAGTATATATGTCGGAACGGCCCGGATCGGGCGACTATATCCTATAGCTGCCATATAACTGATTGATCGGAAATGGTATAACTTTGACGTTTTTAAAGTAAGAGAGTTCAAATTCGACATGAGAGCATTTTTTGGCAAAACATTACGACATGCCAAATTTCATAAGGATCGGCCGACTATATCTTAAAGCTGCCATATAACTGAACGATCGGAAATGATTCAACTTTCGTGTTTTTGAAGATAGAAAGGTGGAATTTAGTGCAGGTTCTATTTTTGGTTAGTTGATCCAACCTACCAAATTTCATTAGGATCGGCCGACTATATCCTATAGCTGCCATATAACTGAACGATCGGAAATGACCCAACTTTTGTGTTTTTGAAGATAGAAGTTTGGGACATTTTTAGGTTTTGTATTATAATAAATTGGGTTATATTATCATATTCTTATAAGGATCGGCCAACTATATTCGATGTTTGCGATATATATCCGGTTTTAACTGCAAGGGTATATCAACTTCGGCTCCGCCCGAAGTTAGCTTTTCTTTCTTGTTTTATAATAAATTGGGTTATATTATCATATTCTCATCAGGATTGGCCAACAATATCCGATGTTTGCGGTATATATCCGGTTTTAACTGCAATGGTATATCAACTTCGGCTCCGCCCGAAGTTAGCTTTACCTTCTTGTTTTATAAGAGATTAAAACTTATTAGTAAGTCGGATTCTATTTCCTTAAAAAACTTGTTTTATATTAAATATGGTTATAATATCATAATATTTATTTATAGTTAACTTATTAATGGTTGAAACTCTTTTTTAAATCGGAAGCTTATTTTTATCTTGATATATTTCCTTTTTTATGTAACAGGATTTTGCACCTGTATCAATTAAAACTTTTAATTCCTTTTCGACTTTGTTATCTATTCTTTTCAAGTAGGGTAATCCTTCTCTGGGTTCTGGTCCAAAAAAATTTCCTTTTCTATATTATTTTCTCTCATTACTTTTGGAACGGGTTCATTTGCTGAACCTGTTGGTTCTCGCTTTAATGGTGGATATGGTTCAGACTGTTTGTTGTGACCCGCGTTTGTGTTTACTTGTTGAGTTTGGTTTTGATTATAATTATTTCTGGGATAATATTTATTATAATTTTTTGTTGTTATTATTACCTCTGTAAAAATTGTTATTCGGACGATTTTGATAATGGATTGATTTATCTACTTCCATTGGTACAGGAGCTTGCTGTACCTGATTATTATTGGGCCTCCAATTATAATTTTGTCCCCACTGATTGTTATTATTTTGTCCCCACTGGTTATTATTAGTTTGTCCCCATTGTATATTATTTTGTCCCTGATTCCACTGATTATTATCGACTTCTTTTTGGGGATCTTTGATTATATCTTAGATAATTTGAATTTTTATTGTAGATGTTTTATGATTAGAAGTATTACCATTTTTCTGTGGTTCGTTATTATAATTTGAATATAATTTCTATAACTCATTTTAATGAAGTTAAAAGTTCTATCATATTGTTGCTTTCCATCTCCTGTACTTACGCCATTGCATTTGGCAAGTCTGTTGGGTTCATAGAATACAGGAGATATTGGGCCGTTTAGGCCAGTTATTAAATCTCTCAAAGCACTCTGCCTATTTCTATTATTAATTTCAGAGGTTATTGGCTTATTTCGGCCATATGCCATTATTGTTTTATTGGTTAACAATGTAAGTGTTCTGTACACCTGATTGTAATACTCCATAACAGTTTGTCTGCCCTGTCTGTCTGCTATCGCTAAAAATAAAATCTAATCTGGTCAGAATGGCATCAAAGTTTAAAACTGTTCCGTGAATTGTTAAAGCATCATTTGCTTTTTGAGTTTTCTTATTCCTTAGTATTGATAATGCCGCGAAATATCGCTTACTTTTTCGAGTTTACTGGCCCATGGCGCTCTCTGCTGCTTTCCTCTAACTAACATACCTCATACAAATAATTATATGTGCATCACGTTTTTGCGAAATAAAAATTTACAAATTTTTGAAATAGTATTTCTTGATATACAGGTTTATTATTATTATAATGTAACATATAAAAAACAAAAAATTAACAAATTACACAATTTTTTTTTACCTAAAAAACAAAATTAAAACTTATATTCATAGTAAATAATTATATGTGCATTTTTTTTTTCTTGTCCGTAAATCTGATTAACAGCTATGAATCTTAAAGGTATCTTATTTTTAATAATCAATACTTTTTCCTTTATTTTTAATAACTAAATTAAGTCGTTTTGGCATTGAATTAACCAACGATTGTAAGTTTTTGAAGTCAATATCAGCCAATTCTTGTATTATTGCTGATCTTAGGTCACGTACAGTCTCAAACTGTCTTCCATTTTTATACACACGACCAAAATTAATCCCCCAGAGGTCTTCAATTGGATTTAAGTCAAGACTCAGCGCAGACCATTTTAAAATAGGAATTTTTCGGCTGTTAAAAAATTTTTTGTGACCTTTCCTGTGTGGATTGACGTGATATCCTGCTGATAAATCCAATCGTCGCCGTACAAATTCCCAGCAAACTCTATAAGTTCACTGTCCAAGAGCTGCACATACATATTGGCATTCATTCTGGTGGATATAAAGACACCATTCATTCATATAGGTGTCTTTCCTTTATGACAGAATGCGGCCCATACCATACCACCTCCAAAGCCTCGTTTGTAACAGGACCGGCGTTCTTGGCGCAAATCTCTCCAATATTGTTTTAAATTATCTGGTCCGTCTAAGTTAAATTTTTTTTCATCACTAAAGATGAAATTTTCCCACTCTTCGGCCCAGGATTGATACTTATTGGCGAGTTCCAAGCGAGCTCTTATATGCCGGTCCAGCAGCTTTGGTTTAGGCACCATGAATGTATGTTCGACGAATTTGTTTTCGTTTAAAATTTGAACAATTCGGCTTCGGGTGACTTGAAGGCCCAAATGAGCCTTAATTTGC